AAGCTGAAGCATTGGGATCCACGGAGCGCGGTTACCAAGTATCACATTGATCGATCCTGCCTTTCTGAGTAAGATATCACTTGTTAAACATCGCATGAATCATAAATGGCCGCCAAGCCGAACCAATTAACTTACGAAGGTCCCAATTACCATGTGAGGGTTTAACTCACTTCCAAAGGCATCGAAATAAATGAAAAATCAGGAAAAAAAATCAATGGTAAGAAATTAACAATGAGACCAGAATGTTTTCTCAATTGAGTATAAACATCCGGTTGGGTGTTAATGTTTGGATTTCCATCTTAAAAAAAAAAATAAATAAAAAAATACAAAAAAATAAAATAAAAAATCGGCCAATCCAATTATGACATATTTTACTCATTTATAGAAAGACAGACAGACAAGGTGAGAGCAGTCATCTCTGTACCCCAAGAGCGGGAATCAGAAATATGCTTTTAATCTTTCAAAGTTTTCCCAACATAAAGCCTGATGGCCGGAAACATCAATACATGCACACATTTTCCCTTCATTCGCTGTCAGTCATTTATTCATCCTCGCTGCAGTAAGAAAATAGCGTCTGCTTCAGTACTCCCTTCCACAACAAGACGCCAAATCTGTTTTAAGAGTGATGCGATGCTTCGTAATAGTCAACACCACCTCTCCCAATAAGCACTCAATGCCATCCTCACTGCTGCTCCCTGGATGTTCATTACCTTCATCCCATCCTTCCTTCTCCTCCTTGGTCCTTCCCTCTCCCTCCAAATTATATATACTTACATCAATATTTCACTTCCCAGTATACCCAGAGGACCTGAGTAGCCCCTGTTCCACTCTCTGTCCAACACTTCTTTCACTTCCACAAATTCCTTACTTCTGTATTTCTCCTTCTCTAGATCCTGTTCACTCCGCATCTATCACATTTAATTTCCTCTTTTCTCTTGAACCTAAAGTCCACATCTCACACCAACATAATGGTGACTCAATAGCACCTCTACACACCCCTGTTATTACCTCCTCTGACACAGTCCATCATCTCCATATGATTCTCAGTGTATCTATCATGTTCTCTCCTGACTCGACTCCCTTTCAGTTCATGATTCCACTTTCCATCTGCTGACACATCCAATTCTAGACACCAGAAAGTTGAGACACACTGCCTCTCCTCCATCCATATGTGACACACTCCCTCTCCTCCATCCATATGTGACACACTCCCTCTCCTCCATCCATATGTGACACACTCCCTCTCCTTCATCCATACGTGACACACTGCCTCTCCTCCACTCATATGTGACACACTGCCTCTCCTCCACTCATATGTGACACACTCCCTCTCCTCCACTCATATGTGACACACTGCCTCTCCTCCACTCATATGTGACACACTCCCTCTCCTCCACTCATATGTGACACACTCCCTCTCCTCCCACTCCCTGACACCTCCTCTCCTCATCCATATGTGACACACTGCCTCTCCTTCATCCTCCACTCCCTCTCCTCCCTCATATGTGACACACTCCCTCTCCTCCACTCATATGTGACACACTGCCTCTCCTCCACTCATATGTGACACACTCCCTCTCCTCCATATGTGACACACTCATATGTGCACACTCCCTCTCCTCCACTCATATGTGACACTCCTCTCCTCCATCCATATGTGACACACCTCTCCTTCATCCATACGTGACACACCTCCCTCTCCTCCACTCATATATGACACACTGCCTCTCCTCCACTCTATGACACACTCTCTCCTCCACCATATGCTGACACACTGCCTCTCCTCCACTCATATGTGACACACTCCCTCTCCTCCATCCATATGTGACACACTCCCTCTCCTCCATCCATATGTGACACACTCCCTCTCCTCCACTCATATGTGACACACTGCCTCTCCTTCACTCATATGTGGCACACTCCCTCTCCATCCATATGTGACACACTCCCTCTCCTCCACTCATATGTGACACACTGCCTCTCCTCCACTCATATGTGACACACTGCCTCTCTTCCACTCATATGTGACACACTCCCTCTCCTCCACGCATATGTGACACACTGCCTCTCCCCTATTCATACTATTATTTACAAACAGCTGACTCATCTCCCGTTATCTTATCATTATTTACTAAACTTGCAACTCTCCATTACTTTAGTTTGCACCTCTCACTTACCTTATCCACGAAGGTGTTTTATAATCAAGGTTACATTACACTTCCTTCGCGTAGTTCTACTTTCACATGGCACCAATATCACCTCCACATTCAACTTTTATTCCTTCGTCGTTACTGATAACTTCACTCATTGAAAATTTGAGTAGATTCTATTTGGAAGAGACAACACGCAGCCTTAAGTCTCTACCGTCAACAACTACGGTACTTAATAATATTGCTTCATATTGCCAGTAATAATATTAGAAACCTATTCCAGTATATCGATCATTAATGGCTATTTCATCAAAGACACCGATAAGTTTGTTGTGTTTTACTCTATACAGTAGTCTACTTTTCAGAATCTGTAAAAAAAAAAAAATTAAATTCTCTTCACCGAAATTTCTCACACCAAAGATGTATTCCCTAGTTTTTCATTTTTAAATATATTTTCGTTCTTTATTCTGTTCAAAATTATGCTTGACTTGCTATATAATTGTCCTAAATTGGGCGCACTCTACTACCCCAAAGATTTTATCTAATTATACCATTCATTTTAATCACTGGAAAATTCGTATTTGTAGTAAATATTTTCACGTTTTGGTCCACTATTTACTCCCAGTCCTTCCCGCTAGTTTTAGAAAATTTCCTGGAAACAAATCAACCCCAAAAGCCATATAACAGTTTTTCAATTTACTCAGTTGCTTCTACTTCCCTTTCAGTTTGATAGTTTAAAGGTTATATCCAATTACTTTTCGTTCCTCCATTCTATAATTACTCACTGTACATTTATACTACGTACACATTCTACCTGGCATTCCTTTACCCGTTCTACCTCAAATATGGTCTTATTATCTTTACTTTATATAATCCCATCCCACTGATGTCCTCTTATCAGGTTCATTATATTTCTACTCACTTCCCTGGAGTTATTTTTCCTATTAACATCTTCTGTCTCTCTACGTATCTTTAAAACAATTCTTAAACATATTTTTTTTATTTCTTTGTGACCTTCCTTATTACTCGTCGCTGCCTGACTATAATACTGTTTTGTTTATTAGTTTTTAGATTTAATTTGTGAAGTAGTGAGTTTTAGTTTACTTCTCTGTTCCTTGCAGGTTTTTACTTCTGTTTTGTTTCTTGCTCTTCAAGTCCTTCCGTCAACAAGAACATAAGTTTGTTTAGGGTTTCATTTTCATATTATATCTTCGTCTCTGTTAACCCTATCCCCTATATCCCACGCGATTATTTATGTTTCATTTCTAAAGTTTAAGCATCACTAATTTCATAACTGCAACACTGTCTGACCCACAGTCTGCCCCCGGCCAGGTCTTCATGTGCGTTACCAAATTCTTTTATCCTCTTGAAAAATAATAATCTCTCTGATTCCTGACAATATAAACTATGATCATGGGATGAAATTCACGTATAAAAGAATCTACGTGATGTTCCAATTATCTATTTTGCAATAATCTTGTTTTGTTTACTAGTCATCCAACCTATGTGGTCATATTTCTCTCACCTCTCATTATAAACATAGCCATTCAATATCGTCGTTTCTTTGCTTTCTTAAGAACTTCATACAACTTTTCGGAACCCTCATCCTCACTGTCATATGTTGGGTTTAGCGTAAAGTTTATCACACAGAACTTTTGACACTGCTCAATATCTTTGTCACAATTACCCATCACCTGGTTCTAGTATTGCTATATAATCTTGACCATCTTACATTATTCAATCCTAAAATGTTTACTGCCGCCTTATCATCTCTGTTAACATTCATATACAGTAATTCTCTCTTAACGTAATGTCCTCACACTCCAAGTTCCTATTTTGAGTGATGTCACCGTCCCAGATTGTTGTTTTAATGTCCAAGGCTTTGTTTTGCTCACTCAATACTTACTAACAGTAGGAGGCACACTTACCTCAAGCATGGGAGGCAATACCTTTTGGACGGTCTTTTAAGAACAAAATTGAAATTCAGTGCAGTAGGAAGCCTAACGCCTTTCATCACAAGGAGAGGATGAAACAGAAGAGTTTATAACAACTGAAAACAAAGACTGCAAACAAAAGCCACGATCTAAACATACGATGTGTGTCTAACAATGCAAAGCAACGCGGCCAAAAATCATGCATATATTTTGTGAGGTCATCCAATGAACTGAATACCTTCTTACCCTTTAAAACACCTAAGGCCGCCCTCACGAGGACAGTGTGTTGCTCTCACAGGTGAGGTGCCGCTCTTCTTATCACTATTCACAAAATAATGCTAAAGCTATTCGCCTCATTCACAAACAGTACCGTAACCTTATACATACTTATACATACAGTTATATAAATACTCGGCTACAATACTGTTAATAAACATCAAGTGCTAAGAACCACAACTAACACAAGGACTCCCCACCAACTAACAAGCATGACACTGACCTGATCTGCAACACAGTTTCGATATTTACCTGCAAAATAGAAAATTTTCACTTATTAACATCACCTGTACTAAGTGTGATACATAACTGTAGGTATAGTGATGATAACGTGTGTGTATATATATATATATATATATATATATATATATATATATATATATATATATATATATATATATATATATATATATATATATATGAGTGCACCATACATTCACCTTTCTCAGCACAGGCGATCACTATACCATAGAGTGATGGTGGTGACGGTGAGGGCACAGCAGTAACTGTAAGGTTATACGATGATTCTCGCCCACTAACATGCAGGGGCCAGCAGTACTACAGGAAGGGTGAGACTAGTATAAGATCAGTTGTAAGGACTCTATAGTTAACTATTCTAGCAGGAAGGTCTGCCCAACAGGAGACGCAGGTTGAGGGTGTGAGCGCAGGACGGTTCTGGTACTCGTCAGCGCGAGGGTGGGGCCACAAGGAGCTATCGGAACCAGTCTGGGGACACCCGCCCAGGATTCAGAAAAACCGCCGGATACCCGACATCAAGGAAGGCCACATGCACAGGCTCGACCACGGGGTAAGTTCCTTTCACAACACTTGTCGTTAATATATTAAACACACTTAAGACCCCACATAATGTGTTACACAACAAGAAACATCCAAAATTGAGCGTATTGTTTGTCAACATTCTTCTCATCATATGTTGGTTTTAGTGACGATATTCTTCATTTTACACTTTTCTTCCAGATTAAAGAACTGTTCGCTGTTACACCTGTAGACGATGAATGTGTAGATAAAACAATTAATGTGACGATTATTTAAAGTAATAATAAAGCTCAAAGAGACTAAAATATGTTTATCAAATACTTTTATTAGTACAACACACAACAGAGAGATTTAATGGCCACTAATCTTATCGCTCTGTACACAGGCAGCTTGCGGCAGTGTGTTCCTTTGATGTGGATACCATTCATGTTGTCATTACGTTATCTTGAAACAAAATTTTCGTCAAACAGAATTTAAACTTTCCTCGAGTTAAGACAGTTTTTACTTTATCAAAATGAATGTATGAACATATGTATGAGCGTTAAGTGGTGAGCGGCGGGTGATGGGTGCAGGAGGTGGGTGTTGTCTACCTCATACACCTGTCCAACACCCTGTACATCAGCTCACCTGGACCAGCTAAATTGGTGATAGCTGAGGACGTGTTCTTCTGCCCACTGATGTTGCAAATTGTTAATGGTCGAGCTTGTGTATGTCTGTGGGAGAGGGCAGGGCGAGGGAGAGGGGTGAGGGTATTGGTGTGGGAAGGGTGAGAGTGGGTTGAGGGTGATGGTGGGGTGTGGGGTGTGGGTGACAGTAGGGTGGGGTGTGGGTGACAGTAGGGTGGGGTGTGGGTGACAGTAGGGTGGGGTGTGGGTGACAGTTGGGCGGGGTGTAGGTGACAGTTGGGCGGGTGTGGGTATAACGTTATGGTTATACACTAAGCTGATGGTAGTAGAAAAGACATGGAAGACTTACAACATTTTACTCACAAGTTATAACAGAGTGAACACACAATAACAACTCTCAGCCAAGCTTCTGTCATAATGATCTCTATGAGGAAAAAATTACTACTACTCATCAGCCGGGGAAATTAGGGAAATATTTGAACGTTTAGACTTTAGACAGTGTTGTATTTCCCTGAATGGTTGAGAGTATGTTCCTCGTCTTCGCACCAAGTGATACATTGTGGAGCCTGGGAATAAGTAATCACGTATACCTGTACCTCTACAACGGTTTCAAAAAATTACAAAATAAAATATATTCTCTGGTAAAGCAAATGAGCTACAAATATGATCAGATGGATATAAATGAAAGCGATTATTTGTTAAAAAAAATACGTTTCTTAATACTAATGTTTATCATGTTTCTTAAGGCTACACTTCATCTCCACAATACTTTACTGACGATCTGTAAACAACTCGATTTCTTCGTTCGTGCTGTTCATAGGTAAATCATATCTTCCACTTTACCTAACACCCTCTTCCCTGACAATCCCCATGAGGGTCTATTTTTTTTCCTAACAGCAACAAGTAATCCTAGACTAGTTGATGACCGTGGTTGGGCGTCCTGGTCATCTCTTCTTTACATACTTCACCGGGAAACTTTTTTAACCTAACACTTAACTCATCAGGTGAAGTAGCCGGAGTCAATAGCAATGTAATTTTTAACTTAAGATACCGAAGCTTAGTCCTATACTTTCCAAAGATATCGTGAACCAACGGGGTTATTATTGTCGCTGTGTTACCGTAACTCTACATCACAAGACAAATGATGTAAACTTTTACTGTAATTCTCTCATGACGAAGCTGTCCCGCTGACTCATATTGACTAGGCTACAAGTACGTATATTGATTAACAATCATTAAATCACATTGACCAGTGTAGACCAAACTATTAGGCGTGAGAAATATACACATACCACAAAGACTTACACAGACACTAGATGGAAATATTTATACATACATGCCCCCAGATATACATATACACATTCACAGGCCAGTATGAAAGCTGACATAATCCGCTTACGTTAAAAAATATTGAATTTATGTGGTCTCTAATGTTTAGCCTCCATCAGTTTTCATATTTTCGAAAAAGCTTAAAGATTTTTCACTGGTATTATATATATATATTATATATATATATATATATATATATATATATATATATATATATATATATATATATATATATATATATATATATATATATATATATATTTGATACCATTAAATTATTGATGAACACAAACCAGCACAAACTACACCCTTTAGATCTTCAACTCAAGTGGAAGGTCCCTTGAACAGTTAACACAGAGGAACTCCTTCACAGTGAGGGTCTCAGGGGTCAAGAGTAGGAAGGCCACAGAGAAATCTAAAGTGAAAACAAACATTATCTTCCAATCTCTGGCTCCATAATATTTAGTTATTTAGTTAGCATCTTTCATCTGGTACAATGATAATGTGATGAACCTCTTCACCGTTAAAATTTGATGTGAATCGGTGAAAAAAAAGAAGTTTTAATGGTGGGTTAACATAAGAACCATGATTCTCCCTCCTACTCCACCAAGAGAATATATTATAATTTTCAGCGTCATTTAAATCCCCATATAATAATGTCAACACCACCACCATTTCAGAAAATAAAAATAATAGTCCAAGGCAGTCATGGAGGGACGGGGTGGGGGGCTGAATAATATAAATCAATCCCTGGCCAGACATAACTACTGTACTGTTTCTCAAACCTTTAACTATAGCACCGCCCGTGGAATGTTAATTCTTTTAAGTAATGTTTAAAGTGCTTTTATCAACACTATTAATCCAGATAAAGAAACACTAATTCACTGTAATGTAACACAATTACTCTGCTATGTAAGAGATAATCAACACGCAGCTTTAGGAGATAATACAAATCCTCTTCCACAGTTAACCCGCTATGATACGTACATCCTGCCCCCCTTCAACACCCAGAGCTATGATACGTACATCCTGCCCCCCTTCAACACCCAGAGAGCTTTAAATAATTAATACCAACCCCTCCCCCCCCGTGTCTGGTAATTCAAGATGTTTCACTGAGCTCAACTCGTAAAGGTCAACACATTGAGAAAACAGGTCACATTGGATGGCTTAAGAATGAGAATAAAAGGTTGAAAGTTGATGTGTAACTAAATTATCTTTTTTTCGTCTGGTTCTGTGGTGATTTTTTTTTACAGAGTGGAACCATCCTCTTGTGCCCAGACAGTGAGTGCTACTTTAAGATTTTATTTCGTTAAACTCATTACACTCCTGAAGCAGAGACGACGTGATCCTAACATAACTGAGGTTAAATACGTTGTCTGCATACACCAGTTAGTTCACTCGTTACCAGCAACAACTTGAAAGCTCTCGCTGTTGTCATATAAACGTCAATGTCTATCGTGGCCAAAAAATAATTAAAAGTACTTTAACTCTGGAAAATTTAATCACATTATTATAAATTTACACTATCTCGTATGACCAATTATTTACTCTACAGCTGATCGAAGTCCCCGACCTAACAGAATACAGACGTGATAACTGCGACAACACAGAAGACAACATACAAGTCCTTGTACTGTACTTAAAACACTGGTACTGTTATCTCGGCCGTATACGCTCCCCTGTGCCGCCACAACACTCGGAAATAATTAAGACGTTGTTCTCAAGAGGTACACGGCCGAGAAAGATTACGTCGAGGCTACTTGTCTGCTGTGGTGTAGAGGATAACTGATGGTGGAGGTACATGTGGTGGAGGTACAGGTGGTAGAGGTACAGGTGGTGGAGGTACAGATGCTGGAGGTACAGGTGGTGGAGGTACAGGTGGTGGGGGGTACGGGTGGTGGAGGTACAGGTGGTGGAGGTACAGGTAGTGGAGGCACAGATGCTGGAGGTACAGGTGGTGGGGGGGGGCTGGAGGTACAGGTGGTGGTGGTACAGGAGGTACAGTGGTGGTGGAGGTACAGGTGGTGGAGGTACAGGAGGTGTGGAGGTACAGATGTTGAGGTACAGGTGGTGGGGGTGGTGGAGGTACAGGTGGTGGAGGTACAGGTGGTGGAGGTACAGGTAATGGTGGAGGTACATGTGGTGGAGGTACAGGTGAGGTGGAGGTACAGGTAGTGGAGGTACAGATGCTGGAGGTACATGGGGGTACAGGAGGTGGAGGTACAGGTAGAGGGCAGGTGGGGTACAGGTAATGGTGGAGGTACATGTGGTGGAGGTACAGGTGGTGGAGGTACAGGTAGTGGAGGTACAGATGTTGGAGGTACAGGTGGTGGAGGTACAGGTGGTGGGGGTACGGGTGGTGGGGGTACAGGTGGTGGAGGTACAGGTGGTGGAGGTACAGATGGTGGAGGTACAGGTGGTGGAGGTACAGATGGTGGAGGTACAGGTGGTGGAGGTACAGGTGGTGGAGGTACAGGTGGTGGAGGTACAGATGCTGGACAATCGGGAACCAGTGAGACGAGACCTGGTGCAGCCTCAGGTGATAGTTCGCCCTTGAAAAAATCTACTCGCCCTCCCATGATTTTCTTACACTCTGGTAACTCTGTGTGGAGCTTCGGGTCGCGGGCGTTCACGTTAAGTTTTTTGTGCAGTCCGTCTCTTTAGTTTTCATCCTGTATGTATATTCTGCACAGTAGAATCGTCATACAAATTCACACTGAACCACTATGTATACATTAACGGTGCAGGTATACAGTGCACATACTAAGAGGTGCAGTTAGAAAAAATAATGTACACAGTGCAGATATTCAATGTATATAGATAAAGCAAGTACACAGAACATACCGATTGCAAGAACAGTCGTAGGGTGTACGATGCAATTTACGATGACCTTCTTGCCCTGATCTTGTTTCAGGAATACCACCCTTTTGAAGCTCTGGAGAGATCTCGAAGTTTCGAAAATGAGTACAGCACTAGCTAATAATTCCCACCAGGAAACTTGTTTCAAGACTCCTCCAAAGCTTCGAAAAGTGCAGAATTCCATGTGTTAAAGGCGATATTGCTGAAAAAAGACCAG